GGGAGGGGCACACTTGTCTCCCCCCCTTTCTTGACGTGCCAGGTTGCACGCTCAGATAATGGCTTGGTGTGGATGGGGGGACCCCACGACATTTTTTTTCTTTATTTTTAATCGCTGGCAATTCCTTTTTTTTACATTCAGCTGTCAGCAGGGAACCCTGTTGATAGTTGATGACTCATCGGTTGTTAAGGACAAGGCAGCTGCCCGCTGCATAAAAACCATGACAGTTACTGGTTGTTAAGGATGCCGGTGGTCACCTGCTCCTTAACAACCAGTACATACTGCATGCTTTGACCACTAGTTAATTATCGCATGCATTTAATTATTTACTTCTGTGAACTGACTTTAAGGTCTTCTCATGCGGTATTTACTGAGCGTTTATGCTATCTGCGGTAAATACCGCATACTAGCAATTGTGAAATTACATTTTCAGTATCACATGCAATATGTGGTCACCTGACAGACATAATGCTGCTGATAGCTTTTAGTGAATTGTCCCCTCTATATGTTGTTCTATCTCTCCAATCTAAGCATTGAAAGTGTGATCTCTGTAACTTACAGTTGTGATGAGCAGGGGCGGACTGACCATTCAGGCACTCGGCACTGCCCGAGGGCCCAGGGTCACTAGGGGGCCCCATGAGATGCCCCTGGTACCTTTCATAGGCTTTTTTGGGTGTGGTTTGAGTGTGGGCAAGGACACAGGGGCCCCTTGATCCCCTATCGCCCAGGGGCCCCATGAGTTGTCAGTCCGCCCCAGGTGATGAGATAGCGATAACTCCAATCTTAGTTGAACACAGGCAGTGACTCAATCTAGATGACACCTTGTAGCTCTTGTGAAGTTTATTCCATAAACTGAGCGAATCTTACAACAATGAACATCTGATAGGTCAAGAGATCATAATGTGATCTGCTTCCATAACATGAGGCTAGAAGCTGAAATGCATTACTGGGAAAGAGTGGAGCTATCTATAAAGCATGAACTAAACAAGAGGAAAGGGAGGAGCAGAGACAAAATACAAAGAACACTTAAAAGGCATATGACAGTCAGTGAAACTTGACACTCCCCGTCGAAATCTATGATTTCTATTATAACAAACTTTAGTCCAAGTCCAGTATAAGTAATGAAGATTCTTTCCAGGAACATCTGCAAAACAAAAAGGAAAGGAAGAAGAAAGGAAAACAATGAAAACTTTTAGCATAATACTTGCAGATGTTGGTCTCGAAAGTCCAGGCTGAGACATGGAAATCCATATTCAGAGGGGAAGGCAGCAACATGCACGATTTCTTCTTACCTCCCTTTAAATCAGGTTGATGACTTGTCTTCCTCTTTGGGCAAAAGAAGTACTAGTTCCTTTATAGGCCTGAAGTAAAGGTGTGCAGAACCTTCTTTCATGGTGGATATAGCCAAGATGTGTCCCGAAATGCAGAAGTAGGTACTGCACGACTGCTGCAGTCAGCAGGGTTGAGGTTAGTGGGAACATAGTGCCATTGTTCAGGCGTAGAGAACTTCCTTATGCGTTCCACTCTGTTGCCGACATACACGTAGAACTGTCTTGTGCGATTGTGTATATATCCTAGCACTATTTTGCTGTCTGTATAAAAGTCAAAGGAGTCTATTTCAACATCTGTTTCAAGTTCTATAAGCTCAGCAATTTCCACAGCTAACACAGCTGCACAAATTTCGACCCTTGGAATAGTATGTGCAGCTTTTGGTGTGAGCTTGGTCTTGCCCATGATAAATCCTACACCCACTTTACCGCTAGGATCCGTAGCTCGAAGATAAGCCACTGCATCAATGGCTTCGTTGGATGCATGGGAGAAGACATGAATCTCTCTTCTGGTGGCATTCTTAAAGGATGCATGGGTGTAAGAGCCTGGTATCTGGAGTTGTTCTAATTCTTTTAGAGACTGTTTCCAGGATTCCCACCTTTGTTGTTTCTCCTTGGGTAAGGGGGTATCCCAGTCTGAGCTTTCAGAAGTAAGTTGTCTCAGCAGTATCTTACCCTGAATGGTGAGAGGTGTAATGAAACCTAACGGATCATAAATGCTGTTCACTGTAGACAATACTCCTTGCTTTGTGAAGGGCTTGTCACAGGCTGATGCTTGAAATGTGAATGTGTCTTGCTTAACATTCCAAAGCAATCCAAGACTGTGTTGTGTAACAGAAAGATCAGATCCTAGTTGGAATTTCTTCACACTGACAGCATGGTCATCAGAAGGAAAGGCTATCATGACCTTGTCGCTGTTAGAGATGATTTTGTGAAGTCTAACGTTTGCTGTGGCAAGCATGTTCTGGGTTCTAGTAAGAAGGTCAATAGCTTCTTCTTCCTTGCCAGAGATTTGAGTCCATCATCTACATAGAAATTCCTTTCGATGAACTGTCTTGCATCAGATCCAAATTCTTTCTCACCCTCTTGAGCTGTTTTCCTCAGTCCATAAATTGCTACTGCAGGAGAAGGACTGTTATCAAAAACATGTACCTTCATTTGGTAGTCTATGACTTCATCATTGATATCATTATTGCGGTACCATCGGAAACCGGGGACGTTTCTGTAGTCTTCATGGACGATGAAACTAGAACATCTGCTGAATGTCAGCCATAACAGCAATTGGCTCTTGTCTGAAGCGAAGTAAAACTCCTATGAGATTGTTGTTCAGATTAAGCCCAGTAAGAAGATTGTCATTGAGGGAGACACCTTCATGACGAGCACTTGAGTCAAAGACCACCCTTTTCTGATCAGGCTTGCGAGGATGGTAGACACCAAAGCATGGTAGGTACCAACATTCTTCTCCTTCCTTAAGAGGAGGTGCAGGCTCAGCATGATCTCTCTCAAACACCTTCTGCATAAAGTCCACAAAGTGCTTTTTCATCTCAGGCTTCTGGTTCAAACTGCGATTTAAAGAAACAAACCATGATTCTGCGTGTACTCTGTTGTTTGGTAGTCTCTTTCTTGGGGTACAAAATGATAGAGGTGCTACACAATTGTTGGAATAATCTTGGTAGAACTCTTTACTCATGGTTTGCAAGAATTCTTTGTCTTCTATGGTAGCTGCCAACTCATTGTCTTTAGTGGTTACCTCGAACACCGTGTTGCCGATGTTGTCACCCCAGAAATGAAGAGCCTTCTTATTGTCTTATATGATGGGCCGTTGTGCACCTTTTTCAAACAATCTCTCTTTCATGATATATTTATGTGGTCGTTGTGCAGAAAAAGTGGTTTGTCCATGACAGGACATGTGTTTTAAAGGAAGAGACTGAGTAGGACATCCTGTTCTTGTCTAGGCAGGCATTGCCTATGATGACCCATACTAGGTGCATTGTGCAGACCGTTGATTTGATGCCGAACTTTGTGCACCCTTAGGATGTCTTGGCCGAGTAACAGCAGGATATCGGCACTTTCATCAAGGGCTGGTATTTGGTTAGCTATGTGCTTTAAGTGAGAATGGTGAAAAGCAGCTTCAGGAGTAGGGATATCCTCTTTGGTGTTTAGAATCTGGTTGCACTCAATGATAATGGGCAAAGATATTTCCACATTGTCATTCAGAGGAGTAACTACAAGACCCCTGGCTCTCCTACCTAAGACTTCTGTAGTACCGGAACAAGTGCTTAGGGTATAAGGCAAAGCATCTCCAGTTATGTTCAACAGTTCAAAAAACTTGTAGTTCTTGTAAGAGATCTGTTACTCTGATCATCCAGAATAGTATACAGTCTTATGGCCTTTTCAGGTTGACCTTTGGGGTATACACGGACCAAGCATATCTTTGCACAGGATTTGTCACAGAATCCTTCTCCGCAGACCTCTGTACATGTAGAGAACACTGGGGTGGTAGGTGCTGCTTGATCTGGGCGCTCCCCACCTTGCTTTGCCTCAGGAAGATTGTTTGTGAGCGTAGTAGATTTATGTGAATATTGATGAAGAGCTTGCACATGGTCATCACTGTCACACTCTATACATTTGATGATCGCTTTACAGTCCTTTGAAAAGTGTTCTGTGGAGGCACAGCATTTGTAGCAAACCCTAAAATTCTTCACAAGTTCATTACGTTCTTGGAGGGTTTTCTTTCTGAATTATACATTCTGATACATTTCTTAAGTGGATGTGGTTTGTTATGCATTGGACATTGCCGATTTGGGTCCTCAATTTTCTTGTTTTGATCAGTCTTTTATAAGAACTGTAGCAGGTGCAGGTAGAACATTAGTCCTTTTCACTAACGCTGGACCTCTATGGTCTCTGTGTGACATATGTGTGTTTGTAGGTCTTGGAGAGAGAGTGTACTGAGAAGGTTATAGTCCTCATATGAGAAACTTGGGTCATTCTTAGTGTCTGCAATTCTTTTGATGAACTCACAGAAGTAGGAAAAAGGAGGAAGGCAACTCTATGTTCTTCCTTTTACTTTGATCCAAGCTCTGTCCATCTGTCAGGGCTCCGGGTATGACCAGAGGTATGTGAACTGACGCAGGGAAACGCAGGCTTCAGATATGTTATAAACAATATAATTTATTAGTACTAACAATACATAAACGCAGTGCAATACTAAAACATAACACAGTGCAAACGAACCAAACCAAACCACCCACAGATAACGATACATACAATGCAAGCGTAGTCAGGCAGGCCGGGTCAATAACAATCGGGCAGGTAGGAACAGGAGGAGCAAGGCAGAGAGTAGTCAGGTCACGAGCCGGGTACAGCAACTAACGGGTGAGGTACCATTGGGGGTCATTCCAGAGAATGGAGGGGCCTCAAGCCAGGGATCAAACAGTCCTAGCTGGGAAAATGTTCAGCACCGCCCGGGTCTGGTAACTGGTGGCAACAAATCAGTCAGACTGGCACATCGGGCTGGACTCCGGGCAGTAGGCAACATCGGGGGACCCATGGCAAAACACACATCAAGGGCTGGACTCTGCAGTCTGGCACAGGGCCCTTAAATAGGAGCGGCAGGCACAGGGCCCCCAGAGGTGTTTGGCAGACTGCAGGGTTGAGTCGGATTGCGAGAGCACAGGGCCCCCAGGCCAGCGGCTGGCACAGGGCCCCACAGGAGGAGGTGAGTCCCACCATTAGGGCAAGTCCATTCCTGAGTAGCCCCCCCCCAGGCAGAGCAGCGGCACCAGGACGCCCCAAACAGGTCCTAGCTGGGCAAAATGTTCCGGGCCCGGGTCTGGTAACTGGGGGCATCAAAGACGGGCCCCAGGAGGGGCGGCAGGCACCGGGCCCCCAGGCTGGACGCCGGGCGCGGCACCCCCAGGCTGAGCACGGGCAGGGGCACATCGGACCCCTGGAGGAGGGGCAGGGCACCAGGGCCCCCAGGAGGAGCGGCGGGCACCGGGGCATCAGGCCGACAGCAGGCATCGGGCAGGCATCACTTCATTTGGCTCGCCAGCGGGCCCCCATCTGGCAAGGCAGTGGGCACCGAGTCACCAGGCACGACAGGTGGGCGGCAACTGGCATGACCGCGGGCACTGGGTCAGACATTGGATCGCTGGCTCGACAGTGGGCATCGGGTCACCCCCAGGTCATTTGGGACAGCGGGCACCGCGTCCTGGCCAGGCAGTGAGCACTGGTCACCGGGCACGACAGTGGGCCTGAGGCCACGGCAGCGGGCACCAGGGCCCATCAGGTACCGGATCGGGCTCGACAGCAGGCAACGGGTCCCTGGATCGTCGGAGCGACAGCGGGCATCGGGCCCCCAGGCATGAGCAGCGGGGGGTCATCAGGCATTGGATCGTCTGGCTCCCAGCGGGATCGGGGGCATGCGGGCACTGGGTCATCAGGCATTGGAGCGGCTGGGACAGCGGGCATCGGGTCACCAGGTACAGCGGGCATGGGTCACCAGGCATCAGGTCATTTGGCTCGCCAGCGGGCACCGCGTCATCTGGCAAGGCAGTGGGCACCGAGTCACCAGGCACGACAGTGGGTTCCGAGTCAACTGGCATGACCGCGGGCACTGGGTCAGACATTGGATCGTCTGGCTCGACAGTGGGCATCGGGTCACCAGGCACCAGGTCATTTGGCTCGACAGCGGGCACCGCGTCATCTGGCAAGGCAGTGGGCACTGAGTCACCAGGCACGACAGTGGGCTCTGAGTCAATTGCCACGACAGCGGGCACCAGGTCATCAGGTACCGGATCGTCTGGCTCGACAGCAGGCACCGGGTCATCTGGCGCTGGATCGTCTGGCTCGACAGCGGGCATCGGGTCACCAGGCATGACAGCGGGCATTGGGTCATCAGGCATTGGATCGTCTGGCTCGACAGCGGGCATCGGGTCACCAGGCATGACAGCGGGCACTGGGTCATCAGGCATTGGATTGTCTGGCTCGACAGCGGGCATCGGGTCACCAGGTATGACAGCGGGCACTGGGTCACCAGGCATCAGGTCATTTGGCTCGCCAGCGGGCACCGCGTCATCTGGCAAGGCAGCGGGCACCGAGTCACCAGGCACGACAGTGGGCTCCGAGTCAACTGGCATGACCGCGGGCACTGGGTCAGACATTGGATCGTCTGGCTCGACAGCGGGCATCGGGTCACCAGGCATCAGGTCATTTGGCTCGACAGCGGGCACCGCGTCATCTGGCAAGGCAGTGGGCACCGAGTCACCAGGCACGACAGTGGGCTCTGAGTCAATTGGCACGACAGCGGGCACCGGGTCATCAGGTACCGGATCGTCTGGCTTGACAGCAGGCACCGGGTCATCTGGCGCTGAATCGTCTGGCTCGACAGCGGTCATCGGGTCACCAGGCATGACAGCGGGCACTGGGTCATCAGGTATTGGATCGTCTGGCTCGACAGCGGGCATCGGGTCACCAGGCATGACAGCGGGCACCGGGTCATCAGGTACCGGATCGTCTGGATCGACAGCGGGCACCGGGTCATCAGGCATTGGATCGTCTGGCTCGACAGTGGGCATCGGGTCACCAGGCATGACAGCAGACACCGGGTCATCAGGTACCGGATCGTCTGGCTCGACAGCAGGCACCGGGTCATCTGGCGCTGGATCGTCTGGCTCGACAGCGGGCATCGGGTCACCAGGTATGACAGCGGGCACCGGGTCATCAGGTACCGGATCGTCTGGCTCGACAGCGGGCATCAGGTCACCAGGCATGACAGCGGGCACTGGGTCATCAGGCATTGGATCGTCTGGCTTGACAGCGGGCATCGGGTCACCAGGTATGACAGCGGGCACTGGGTCATCAGGCGTGATAGGATCATCAGCCTGGATCAGTTCATCAGGCTGGGTACAGACATCAGACTGAAGTGCGGGTGCCGAGGCACCAGGCTGAACCACGGAAGGCAGGTTCTCAGACGGCAGGCTCACTGGTTTGGATACTGGCAGGATGGTACTGGTTGGAAAGAATTTTCGCTTTTTTCTGGTTTTAACTCCTGGAGCACTGCAAGTAAACGCAGGTCTGCAAACGAATGGAGCAGCTGAGGACAGAGAAGAGCAGGAAGATGGAACAGAGGAGGGAGCAGCCGCCACAGAGGACCTCTCCACAGGGCCAAAGAAAGGATAGGTGCAGCGAGTGGGAGCAGGGGACTGGTATGTGGTAGTTAGCAGAGTATACTGGGCCATCACTGGGGGTGCTGTCGGGGATGCAGGAAGAGTGCCTTGAGCAGAGGAATGACGTTGCAAGCTGACTGAGGCTGGGTGCAACAAGTCTGACCATGTCTGCAGTATGGGTTGAACAAAGCTCAGCTTACACAAAGCCTGTCTGGTCAAAGACTGCACTGCGTTTATACAATCCCTTAATACCTGTGGTGAACATGCAGCATAATGCTCCAAGAAGCAATCCACATCATCCTCTAATAACCATACCAGGGACTCTACCTGGTCTGCACTAAATGGTGGCAAAAAGTCATTCCTGCTTTCAGGGGTACCAGATGAAGCCAACTCTACACAAACTTGAATCAAAGGTTGCACCTCAGAGAACTCTGTGCCCTGATCTACTAGAACTTGAGCGATCCGTATACATTCTAGCAGTTGATCCCGGGTATACTCCCTCAGAGTCTGATAAGCATATTCTCTGTCATCAAAAACCAGCAGCGACAAATACACAACCTCATCAAGATCCATCCTTCCCAGCAACAAGCCAAGATGGCTTCCCTGTGCAGCCACTTCTGGTCAGGATTGGCCTTGGTGTAATGTCAGGGCTCCGGGTATGACCAGAGGTATGTGAACTGACGCAGGGAAACGCAGGCTTCAGATATGTTATAAACAATATAATTTATTAGTACTAACAATACATAAATGCAGTGCAATACTAAAACATAACACAGTGCAAACGAACCAAACCAAACCACCCACAGATAACGATACATACAATGCAAGCGTAGTCAGGCAGGCCGGGTCAATAACAATCGGGCAGGTAGGAACAGGAGGAGCAGGCAGAGAGTAGTCAGGTCACGAGCCGGGTACAGCAACTAACGGGCAGGTAGGTACAGGGGGTCAGGCAGAGAATGGTCGGGGTCACAAGCCAGGGATCAAACAGGAGAAGTCAGCAGAGGTCCGGATCAGGCAGGGTCGGCAACAAATCAGTCAGACAGGAACAGGAACAGGAATGCAGGTAACAAGATACAGGGGCCCATGGAAAAACACACACCAAGGCACAGACTGCAGGTCTGGCCATCCCTTAAATACACCTGCAATCAGCCTCAGGTGTTTGGCTGACTGCAGGGTTGAGTCTCTGATTGCTGAGAGCACCCGCTGGCCAGCCCTGGTACTGCAGCCCACAAGGCAGGTGAGTCCCACCATTATTGGCAAGTCCATTCCTGACACCATCTTTCTTGAATTCCATATGGTAGCTTGAGAACAAAAGATTTGATGCCATGAGAGGTGTCAAGGTAATTGAGACCAGGTAAGTTGATGTCAGCCTTAGCAAGTTGAAGCTCTAATAGAACATCGCTGAGTTCTTGAAACTTTAGATTGTCGCAAGCAGAAATTCTTCGGAAGCTTTGCAACCTTTTGAATAAAACATTTTCAATGGCCTCTGGGCTGCCAAAGGTATGTTCAAGTCTGCCCCAAGCAGCATTAAGGCCTGCAGCAGGGTTTTCAATATGAACTGCTTTGAGCCTCTTGATGCGTTCAGTGGACTGGGGACATAGCCATCTGATGAGTAGATCCAATTCCTCTGTGGCATTGATGTCTAGGTCACTCATTGTGACCTTTAAAAGTGGATTTCCAGCCTCTGTCATGTTCAGGCTTGTCATCAAACTTGATGTGGCTTGTCTTAACAAGCTCTCTGCAGAGCATGTATTTAGCAAACTGTTTTCAAATTTTGGGTGCATGACTGCAGGAGGAACAGAGTTGGTTGTGACGGTTGGTGGACTTACGTGGAGTGACTTGGAAACATATGTTGCTGCTAAGGCATTCAATGCCAGAACTGGCTTAAAGTCCATTGGCATATTGATTTGTAGAGTAGTGCATTTGCTAGGAGGTACTGTGTTGGTGCCAAAGTAAGGTGGACGGTCTATTAAACACATACCAGTGTCTGTGGCTAGCTGAGATGCTGCAGTCTGATGTATTGGAGGATATAAGGGCAAATCGTCTTGAGGTACAGCAGGTGCAGAGAAGAGACTTTGAGTACTTTGGTTGCTGTGACAGGGAGTTGACGTTCTGGAGAGGTGTGTGAAGAATCTGAGACATAAGATACAACGGAGTGTCTGGAACTGTTGTCTTTCCTTTTTACTAGCGGCTTGTTCTAATACCCTTAATCTTACCATGGCTGTGGCATGCTCACATTGTTTTTCCAAAACTTCAATTTCTGTCTTTTGGCGTGTGGCTTCAGCTTCTTTCTCTGCTTTCTGATGTGCGGCCTGAGCCTCCATTTCTGCTTTCTTTTGGGCGAAAGCTGCCTGAATTTTAGCAGCTTCAGCATCAGCACGGGCTTTTATTAGTTGTTGACTGAGTGTAGAAGATCTTGATTGTATGGATTTGAAAGATCTTGAGTAGTGTCTAGTACAGTGATGGCGAACCGCTGGCATGCAGAGCCATCTCAGTGGGCACACCAGGAAGAAGAGGAAGATGAGCGCACACGGACCACGCACACTGACCGGCCATCCAGATCTCGTCCACACTGGACCCCCATCAAACTACATTTCCCACATGTCTCTGGGGCCAGGGTGGGTGTGGACGAGAGGAAACAGCTCCTATGCGGATCTGGCACCAGGGGTGATGTAGCCGTGGATGGGTGTGGAAGAGAGGAAGAGGCTCCCACACTGCTCCAGGGCCAGGGGCAAAGTGTTCAGCGTGGATGGGAATGAGCTGCTGGGTTGGAAGCCACATCGACACTGCCAGAGGTGAGATTAACTGCTTGCAGTGTCATCCATCAGTGCCCAGAAGTGTCACCCATCAGTGCCCAGCAGTGTCGCCTGTCAGTGCTGCCCAGCAGTGTCACCCATCAGTGCCACCCATCAATGATGCCCAGCAGTGTCATCCATCAGTGCCCAGAAGTGTCACCCATCAGTGCCCAGCAGTGTCGCCTGTCAGTGCTGCCCAGCAGTGCAACTTGTCAGTGCTGCCCAGCAGTGCCACCTGTCAGTGCCCAGCAGTGTCGTCCATCAGTGCCACCTATCAATGATGCCCAGCAGTGTCATCCATCAGTGCCCAGAAGTGTCACCCATCAGTGCCCAGCAGTGTCGCCTGTCAGTGCTGCCCAGCAGTGCCACCTGTCAGTGCTGCCCAGCAGTCCCACCTGTCAGTGCCCAGCAGTGTCGCCCATCAGTGCTGCCCATCAGTGCCACCCATCAATGATGCCCAGCAGTGCCACTGATCAGTGCCGTCTGTCAGTGCCTCCAGTTGGTGCTATCAGTCAGTGCCGCTTATCAGTGCCCACCATTGCTGCAGATCAGTGCATCATCAGTGCCTCCTCATCAATGCCCACCAGTGCCGCCTCATCAGTGCTACCTATCTCTGCCGCCTCATCAATGCCCATCAGTGCTGCCTATTAGTGCAGCCTCACCAACGCACATCAAAGAAGAAATATTACCTGTTTGCAAAATTTTATAATAGAAGCAAAGAAAACCTTTTATGTTTTTAATTTTTTGCTCTTTTTTAATTTATAGTGCAAAAAATAAAACACCCAGTGGTGATTAAATACCACCAAAAAAAGCTCTATTTGTGTGAAAAAATGAGTGTTGCATGACCGCACAATTGTCATTGTCAAGTGCAACAGCACTGAAAGCTGAAAATTGGTCTGGGCAGGAAGGGGGTAGAAGTGCCTGGTAGGCAAGTGGTTAATTGAAGTGTTGGCACTTTGAAATAAAAAAGTTGGTTTTGTGTTGCAGTTTTGGGCACTCGGGCTCAAAAAGGTTCGCCATCACTGGTCTAGTAGATGCAGAGTGACAAGACCTGGATTCATGGAGCTGTGTTATTCTCACTTTTGCCTTTGTCTTTGTTCACACCACTAAATTGACTCTTTCAAGATTGAGCTCCTCAAAACTCATTAATTCTTCCAATGACCCTTGAGTGTACCGCTTTAAGAGAGCAATATATTTAACACACAGTCTTTGATAATTCTCATAAGCAACATTCAATTGCTGGATAGCGCCTTCTAGTTGTATTGGCTCATGAGATTGTTAGGAGAGAGCAGACATGCATTTAACAGCATTGGACCGTAAGTCATTAATATTAGACAGCAATTCTTCCTTGTCAGCATTAGGAGTATCTTGCACCTTCCAGGTTGGTTTTGTTAAGCGTTTTTCTCTTTTATCTAATTCAGAGTTCAAGTTCTGCTCTGAATGAAGCTCTGATTGTGGTTGTGTATTAGTTTCCCCAGACTGTATATTACTGTCCTGAAAAATCATGTTAGCAAGGAGAGGGGTTGGTAGAAAGTTTACAGAGAAATGTATCAGTTTTTCTGAGGGTGAGCTCAGGTTTCCTAGGTAATGGTTTCAGAAAAGTTTTCTTTTACTTTCTAAGATTTCACAGACAAGCCATGTGCTAATGCATGCAGATGCAGTGTATACACTTGCAGTTGTAAGACATTAATAAAACAAACAGATTGCGCTAGTAAAAAAAAAAGTGTCCAAAAAAAGATTAAAAATTATAGGGTAAATATATAGAGTTGTGTTCAAAATAATAGCAGTGTGTTGAAAAAAGTGAATAAAGCTCAAAATCCTTCTAACAGCTTTTATTTCCATACACACAAATGCATTGGGACACTACACATTCTATTCCAAATCAAAACATGAAGAAAAATATATCAAATTTGTGTTGCTCCTCTCAAAAAATTGAAGAAAAGTGAATATTAGACTGTTCAAAAAAATAGCAGTGTTTGTATTC